GTGGGTGGATTTTTACCATTATAGGCTGGTTGTTTTCACACACTGCAGCTACACAACTGTTCAAACACCTTATACAAGTGATTTTTGCATAAAAGGTCACCTTTTAAGGAGTTTGTGAAGCGTTTGCATTATTTCCCAAGCGTTTAGGGGTGTGTGTGTGTGTGTTTCAGCGTGGCGTGTTGGGCGTCTCACATATGTGGCATTCTCTGGCTGGCGTGTTCAAGCGTGACACCTGACTCCAGCACCGCCGTCCTGTTTTAGACACTCAGCGTAAGCGTTTGACGCGCTGCGAGTGTGTTTGTGTGCTGTCATACAGGAGCATGTGAAGGTCACGTGTGTTTGCAGATGATAAATATCAAATGTGGGCCAGTATATGATAAATAGAAGTAAAATATAAAATAATTCAATGGAGATCACTAGATTCAAACCACACTTTTGGACTACATGGACAATTTAAGCACATTACATGACAAAATGAGAGAAAAGCACTGTTGTTTACTTATTACCTTGATTATTTATAACTAATGATATCTAATCTTGTTTTTCTTCCATCTCTCATATAGAGACATTGTTTATCATCTGATCAATTCCTCATGGATAAAATCAAGTCCTGTCTGTTCATCAATAAGGTGCAGATTGGTCCTCAATTTGTGTTTCCATCACACTTTTTCACAGCGCGCATCACATGCTCAAACTCCTCAAAAGTCAACAAGTTCAACAACGACTTATCCAACTGCAGAATGCACGCGAGAGAGAGACGAGGCAGCACAGATTGCGCGTCTCATAAGTGAGTAGGGAATTTACCGAACGTGGCACTTGCGGGAGTTAACACTGTATGCAATACCCGCAACCTCACACCAAATTTCAGGCGTGGTCTATTGAGACTCCTATGTTCGTTGGTGCATCCCGAAACACAACACCTCTTTGGTGCTGACAGTGTATCTCCAGCAGCTACAGCAAGAAAACAGCAATGGAGGACTGCGGCTTCTCTCTCAGGGCGGGGTCTATGCTAATAGGGCAGAAAGCGTCACAAATGGGCGGGACTTTCCCTAGTATATTGTCATTATAGGGAGAAATCTGGAATCGCTCGTTTGGAGAGACTGTTTATGATTTATTGGGATTATAATAAAACGAGTGGGTGGATTTTTACCATTATAGGCTGGTTGTTTTCACACACTGCAGCTACACAACTGTTCAAACACCTTATACAAGTGATTTTTGCATAAAAGGTCACCTTTTAAGGAGTTTGTGAAGCGTTTGCATTATTTCCCAAGCGTTTAGGGGTGTGTGTGTGTGTGTTTCAGCGTGGCGTGTTGGGCGTCTCACATATGTGGCATTCTCTGGCTGGCGTGTTCAAGCGTGACACCTGACTCCAGCACCGCCGTCCTGTTTTAGACACTCAGCGTAAGCGTTTGACGCGCTGCGAGTGTGTTTGTGTGCTGTCATACAGGAGCATGTGAAGGTCACGTGTGTTTGCAGATGATAAATATCAAATGTGGGCCAGTATATGATAAATAGAAGTAAAATATAAAATAATTCAATGGAGATCACTAGATTCAAACCACACTTTTGGACTACATGGACAATTTAAGCACATTACATGACAAAATGAGAGAAAAGCACTGTTGTTTACTTATTACCTTGATTATTTATAACTAATGATATCTAATCTTGTTTTTCTTCCATCTCTCATATAGAGACATTGTTTATCATCTGATCAATTCCTCATGGATAAAATCAAGTCCTGTCTGTCATTGTTTTTTCTAATTTTTATGTAAAATTATCTACAATTTTCAAAACTTATTGTCATATTTTATGGTTACTCATTCACTTTAATACAAAATATATACATTTTTCATTAAAATAGTGCATTTTACTAGACACTCTGACAATTATTTGATTTAATTTATTTTTATTTTTAGTTGTCATTATGTATTTTATTGTGACATTATTTTCATGACAATTAACCATGTTTTCCCACAAATTATCATTACTGTAATGCACACAGACATTGTACTTTTCATTTTTTTAAATTCTCATTATTTTCAGTGGTGATAATTCTCATTAAACATATAATTAAATGATTTTTAATTTAAATCAGAATAAATTAATTGCATTACAACTAATAATATGATAATGTATACTTACTATTTTTGAATTACAGTAATAAAAACTTAATTATTTTTAAAATACCCTTTTAAAGAATTTTTATTACAGAAATTTGAAGTTGAGGCTGAACATAATTCATAATTCATCTCATAATTCTCATTAGAAATTTTTTTCTCATTAAAAATTTAATAAATTCTTTACCATTTTACAATAATTATAATGATTTGTTTTATTATTAGTACAACTAATAATACCATAAAGTATACATAATATTTATACAATAATTAAAAAAAACTTCTAAATGATTACATTTATAATTGTATGTATGTATTTATTTATTTCAGAATTAATAAGCAGTATTTTTTATGGTAATAAGAAAACCTTAAAAATGTATTTTTAAAGAATTTATACTTATAATATATATAAAATTATATATTTATAATTTTTAAAGAATTCTCATTAGATTCAAATTACTGTAATACAGTACCATATTAATGTAATTATAATATTAAAAAAAAAAGTTAAAATCAGAATAAATCAGATGCAGTACAGGTAAATAGTACCATAATGTGTACATGCATTTGTGCATTATGGTAATAAAAAAATAAAACTTTAAAATTGAATTCAAGTTTATTTGTATAGCACTTGCAAATCGTTGCAAAGCAGCTTTACAGAAAATTAAAGTTGCTACATTATATTTAGTAATAGCTTATCAGTGGTGACCATCTCAAGGTGATGTCCATATGGCAGAAATGTACGGTAAAAATGAAGCAGTTAGTTAATGACATGTAATCAAACAGACGGTGAACACTATTAACAGCAATGATTATATGTTGCCATCAAACTTATAGCAAAATTTGGTCGTTGGCATCATCTTCAGGGGGGTTTGCGTCATCTCTTCTCAGGTGTTTATAAGGGCTGGATCCAGCCTGAAGCTTGTGTGATTCCTAGTTACAGAAACCGAGAAAATAACTTATTTATTTAGTCTGAACTTACTCAGTTTACATTAAAATAATTCTAAAAACAGCTTCAATGAACTGTCATTAATTTATTTTGATTTTGTGGTGAAATGTGAGCTGACAGCTTTGATGAGATTCGTGAGTATTTGTAATTCGTTACTTCACACCCCTGATAATAATATATGCTCATGTTAAACATTTAACTCCGAGGGAAAATTAGTTTGAACTATTATGTACTTACGCAACAATACACCTGAGCAGAATACTTGTACCTTTCAAAAAGTAGTCTTTTGTTTGAGTTGTTTGTAGTTGATTGTCCACTTCATCCGGCACAGTTTAGTCTCTGTGTTCTTGATTGTTTTACTGCTTCAGATGATTCAGCACAGGCGGAGGGTTAAACGTAGCCTAATGCCAGTGTAATCTATTAACTTCACACATCATAAACCAGTCTGTTTAGGCAAGAACCAGATATGGGTGTCATGTCATAAAATATTTTAATACGACAAAATAATACAAAACAATTGCAAGTTAATAATTATTTCATTATTTTATTTCTTTTCCATGATTATTCAAACAGCGAATAAATGATGTACAGAAAGCGAACATTAAGCCTGCATTATCAAAGAACATTATGATTCTTAATCACTCTCAAAAAACGCAATGACTCATCTGAACGCCTCTGATTGGCCAATGCATTCATAAACTCAACAGAATCGTCTGTGATTGGTTATAGTGCACAACGCTGTACAAGCTGTAAAAATAAATATGATGTGATATGAGCAGATCAAAATAGAAATACTGTTTGAATTTTACTACGTGTTGCTTTGCTGGCTGTAAATGCAGGGAATCCATGATAAATCCTAAGCACGCAAACTAAAAGTCCGTTATAACTAACTGCACTGGGTATTCAGCTGATTTAAAGTGTTAATGGTGATCCATTATGCCCCTTTTTACAAGATGTAAAATAAGTCTCTGATGTCCCCAGAGTGTGTATGTGAAGTTTTAGCTCAAAATACCCCACAGATAATTTTTTTATAGCTTGTTAAAATTGCCACTTTTAGGGTACGAGCCAAAACGCGCCGTTTTTGTGTTTGTCCATTTAAATGCAAATTAGCTGGTGCTCCCGCCTCCCTTTTCAGAAGAGGGCGGAGCTTCAAGAGCTCATACTCCGGCATACACCGGCAACAACAAAACAGGACAATATCACGCAATCTGACTGTACTGTGCAGTAAATGCGCGTTTAAGAATTACACAGACGGGGAGCACAGCGCGATAAATATAACAACATAGCTGGCCTCTTGGTGCCTTGCTATCACATTATCAGCTCAGTACATGCATTTGTGCATTATGGTAATAAAAAAATAAAACTTTAAAATTGAATTCAAGTTTATTTGTATAGCACTTGCAAATCGTTGCAAAGCAGCTTTACAGAAAATTTAAGTTTCTACATTATATTTAGTAATAGCTTATCAGTGGTGACCATCTCAAGGTGATGTCCATATGGCAGAAATGTACGGTAAAAATGAAGCAGTTAGTTAATGACATGTAATCAAACAGACGGTGAACACTATTAACAGCAATGATTATATGTTGCCATCAAACTTATAGCAAAATTTGGTCGTTGGCATCATCTTCAGGGGGGTTTGCGTCATCTCTTCTCAGGTGTTTATAAGGGCTGGATCCAGCCTGAAGCTTGTGTGATTCCTAGTTACAGAAACCGAGAAAATAACTTATTTATTTAGTCTGAACTTACTCAGTTTACATTAAAATAATTCTAAAAACAGCTTCAATGAACTGTCATTAATTTATTTTGATTTTGTGGTGAAATGTGAGCTGACAGCTTTGATGAGATTCATGTTTATGTGTATTGCAGCAGAGCATCAGGATGCTGATGGTGTGTGTGTGTGTGTGTGTGTGTGTGTGTGTGCGCAGGATGCGCAGCGGGTCAGTAAAGCGGTGGGTCAGCGGGAGGCGGAGGCGGTGGTCAGCGAGGTGGGATGGATGACCTCGGTGAAGGACTGGGCCGGGGTCATGATCTCTGCTCAGACGCTCACGGGACGCGTGCTGGTGAGTCCAGACGCCTGCATTCTCACTCATATTACAGAGTCTCCTCAAGCTCCATTAATCAGAACTCACACTGACAAGAACATGAACAGTCATTAAATTGATCTGGTATATTTCTGAATAAGCTGGCAGATTTTAAAGGGTTAGTTCACCCAAAAATGAAAGTTCTGTCATTAATTACTCACCCTCGTGTTGTTCCAAACCCGTAAGACCTTCGTTCATCTTCGGAACACAACTTAAGATATTTTATGATAAATCCTAAGCACGCAAACTAAAAGTCCGTTATAACTAACTGCACTGGGTATTCAGCTGATTTAAAGTGTTAATGGTGATCCATTATGCCCCTTTTTACAAGATGTAAAATAAGTCTCTGATGTCCCCAGAGTGTGTATGTGAAGTTTTAGCTCAAAATACCCCACAGATAATTTTTTTATAGCTTGTTAAAATTGCCACTTTTAGGGTACGAGCCAAAACGCGCCGTTTTTGTGTTTGTCCATTTAAATGCAAATTAGCTGGTGCTCCCGCCTCCCTTTTCAGAAGAGGGCGGAGCTTCAAGAGCTCACTCTCTGGCATAGAGACATCACACATAATCACACACACACACACACATTGAATTATATACAGTATCGTATATCACGACCAGTATAATGTATCTGTCACACACCTCTAGCGTGCCAGTGTTTACACACACACACACTCACATACAATATACTCACATACTCGCGCACACACACACACACACACACATCACACATACTCACACACACACACGTATACAATTATATACAGTATCGTATATCACGAGCAGTATAATGTATCTGTCACACACCTCTAGCATGCCAGTGTTTACACACACACACACACACACACACATATATACTCACATACTCGCGCACACACACACACACACACACTCCTGATGTGTCCGATCATGACTTATTTATGCCACGAAATGCTGCGGTTTACATGGAGGAAATTTTTTTCTTGAAGTACAGTACCATCAAAAAATATTGTCTAATTATTTTATATTAGAAATATTACATTTTATATTTTATAACGTAGTTATCTTAGAAATATAATGATATGATATATAAAGTTACATAATAAATTATTATAAAATTATATGTTATGTTAATGTGTTTTTATACATTTGTTATATTTACTTTATAATATTATATTATAATATGCGCGCGTGTGTGTGTGTGTGTGTGTTTGCATGCACAGGTTAATTCATGAGTCATTTCCTGTCCAGATTACGGCTGCGGCTCCTTATATTGTTGTTTAGCAGGAACATGCAGTCTGTAACCATGGAGACGACAGTTAACCTCCTTGCAGCAGGTGTGTGTGTGTGTGTGTGTGTGTGTGTGTCAGCCTGTTTAGGGGTTGAATGAACCTGCAGCTCAACACACATTCATATATTCAGAGATGCATGAGTTACTGTAGTTCAGTCAGTGTTTTTGAGCATGTCACACATGGGTCTAATTTGACGAACATGACCTGATCACATGACCCCTGCGCTCAGGTGTAACCCGATCTCTTCATTAAAGCTGTATTAGCTGTGACAGTGGCCGTGAGGGTCCGCAGCGATGATACGTTTCCTGTTCCTGTGAGAGCCGTACTCCAGGGATATTTCAGGAAGGGCTTTATTAATTCATGCGCTGTCCGGCTGTGTTTGAAAACTGCTTTAATGATTTTGCTGATGATTCAGAGACGCTGTGAGATGTTCATCTGTCGTGTGGAGGAATGAGAAAGCTCTGCCTCACAGGCACTTCATTTATAAAGTCATTTGGAAATATAGACACAAAGATATATACGACTTTAAAAAAAGATTGTATTGTTTTTATTTATTATTTATAATAATGATAATGTAGTTAATAATTCATAATAATAATTTAATTTAATTAATAATAAAAAGATGATGATGATGATGATACAGTTAACTAAGATTAATACAACCTTATTTTAAATAATAATAATAATAATACAATTAACCAAGATTAATACAATATTATTTTAAAGTATTAACAATAATAATAATAATAATAATAATAAAACAATATTAATTCAGCCTTATTTAAAAATATAATAATTATTATTATTCTTAGTAACAATTTAAAATACGTTTGTATTAGCCATGCATAATAATAATAATAATAATAATAATAATAATGCAATTAACCAAGATTAATACAACCTTATTTTAAAGTATTATTATTATTATTATTATTATTTACCAAAATAATAAAGGCTGTAAAAATAATACAAATGGTCCATGATACCTAATGCATTAATGAATGGTGGCATTTCTTGCACTAAAAACAGTAGTCATTTAATTTTGCGTTACCATTTTCCCCTTACATTACTCTTATAATTAAGCACTTTTTTTTCCTATTGTACCTTTAAGATTCCTATATGCAAATCTCCTCTGTTGTGAACAGGTAGTCAGGGTTTTCCTCAATATCTGTTGATATATAAAGTCTAGTGCTGTGTATGTTGGTCTAATTATCAAAATAACAAGCAAAATATGACCCGTTTAAAGAACTGTAAACTATATGAATATTTTTTATAAGGGAAGTAATTCTAGCACAGCTGTAAATCTACAAGCACTTCGAAATGTTCCTGATTCAGTCAGACTTTCTCCAGATTGACCTGTTGAAGATTGAAGCGTCCGACTCAGATCAAGAGTTTGGCACATTTATTCTTGAGAGAGAGAAACATCAGTCACACAGTAGTCATTTGATCAGTGAAAAGAATAATAAAATAATAGTAACCCAGAAAGCATGAGTCTGAAGTAGGGTTGTGACGGTGAGGAAATTTTCCCACTGGTTAATCCTAGTCTGAAGCTGTAGTGAATCTGTCCCGTGAGGAAGCTGTTCCTCCAAACCCTGGACTGTGATTCTGTCAGACAGAAGAGCTGATGTGGAACACAAACCTTCAGAGGAAATGCTTAAAAGATCGGCCTGGAGGAAGAGAAGAGCAGCTCATTATGAAGTGTGAATCTCTGTGTGTGTGTGTGTGTGTGTGTGTGTGTGTGTGTGTGTGTTTTCTCTTTAGGGGACTTACTGCTTTATTTGTTCTTATCCAGAATGCCTGTCGAGTCAAACCCCCTCCTTCTGGAATACAGATCAGATAGAAACCAACCAGTTAACCAGTTAACCCGTCCCATCTGTCAGCCAGTGTGCACTCATTAGTATTCATCAGTTTGTAAAGTGTGGTTCTAGTACAGACAGACACAATATCAACATAAAACAATTTTCATTCAGAAAATGCTAGTACATCTCATAATTAATTATTAAGAAACCGCAAGTAACACACTGAATTAAATGTGAAATTTTTCAAGTAGAAAGACTGAAATAGTATTTTCTTGTAAAAACACTATTGTAATCTTTGTTTTATTTACAACTTTTGAAAAAATGATTTTTGCACAGTGCACATTTATATTTAATATTAATGTTTATTTATGTTTTAATTTATTGTTGAAACTTTTCAGAATATTATTTAATTATTTTGCATGGAATAATATAATGTGTAGTTCATTTAAAGAAATGTATCTAATGTGATTAAGAAAAATAGATGAAAAGATATATAAGACTTTAAAAAAAGGTTGTATTAATTTTGGTTTATTATTATTATTATTGTTGTTAATTTAAAACAAGGTTGTATTAAAATTGGTTAATAATAATAATAATAATAATAATGATAAAATAATTAACCAATATTAATACAACCTTATTTTAAATTAATAACGATAATAATAATATTGGTAACAACTTTTAATTTTCCTGCTGTTCTGTATGATTTGTAATGTATTTTCAGGACTGTTGTGCTCCGTAAAATCTACTACACTATAAAAAGTTATAAATAAAACAAAGATTATTGAAGTATTATTGGAAAATATTATTCATTCCACTTCAAAATTGCCAACTGTAATTATTTATGAAATTTACTTGCAGTTTCTGAGTGAAATCGGTTTCAAAAATGTTAAAAAATTTTAATTTGTACATGGTTTAGATGTTGTCGATGTATTGATATTGTTCATTTCAGTGTCTTTATTAGCTTAAATCTCTCACAAATAAAAAAAAACAAAAAAAAAACATTGTTTTGTTTCAGAGATACAGCTGATGGAAAGCTGAGAGGAACAGCCATAGATTAATCTTAATTGAGGTTATTATACAGATTCTGCATTTGTTCTCATTAATTCTGCATCTGCTGATGAGTGCAAAAGGGAATCCTGGGAATCATTGACCCACTGAACTGTTTTTGACAGCATGTTTAAAATCAGAGCTGGGCTTCAGACGTCAGCGATGGGAATGAATCTGACAGCGGTGGACGGTCAAAGCGTAGCTCTCCACTCACCCGTGATTTATCTGCTTCACCTGTCAGATTCACATCACGCAAGCACCCGCAGGAAAACATGCCGCAATGCAAAAAATGCTCCTAAAAATAGGTGCAAATATGCAAAATATTTATATTAAAATAAGTAGATCAGCCAACATACTTAAAGGAACAGCGCCTGAAAATCGGCTTATTGGAAGCTACCTAGCTGGGGACTATTTTCAGGCGCTGCGTAATATCATTGCGCCTGCTGCACACATGGTACGGCAGCAAAGTTCCTTGATTATTACGCCGGAATGAGAGTATAGTTCCTAGCCATATCGGTCTAGAAAATCACAATTGCATAGATGCAAAGAGTATTTTCAACTGTTCCTCGTTGGTTTACATTTCAACTGTACTTCTGCACTACTGTTTTTTTACATTTCAACTGCACTATTGCACTACTCGTTTACATTTTAACTGGATTCTTGCACTACTTGTTTACATTTCCATTGCACTACTTGTACATAAGGTCACCGCAAGCCAGAGTTGTGCAACCTCTGGATACCTCACCTCAGCTGCTATGCCATTGTATCATATTGTATCATTTTATCACATTGTCCTGTTGTTGTATATATTTATTTTTATTAGATCCTGCACTTTTAAATTAATACTGTTCCAATACCTTT